AGCAAATGCCATTTTTGTAATGAGATGGTTTTATTACCAATCCATTCCCTAAAGTAAGTGAAGCCCACAGGCTTAAAACAAAATACTTGCAAGTTGATTATAATGCAGCCATGTAAAACTACACCACATTTTCCAAACACTCTACCCACCCAGTAGGTTCCATACATTGAACTCAGAATTTTGTTCTACTTCCAAGCTAGAGATAGGTGGTGTGGCTGTCTCTTACAACACTAGACAATGACAGTAAGCCACAGCTCTGCTTCAGGGACTTGTTCACAAGGAGGAATTGAGAAGATGCCCGAGGACACTGTTGGCAGGGCTTCTGGGCACAAGCATTCAGAAAATACCACCATCTTCGTTTGCTTTCTATGACTTTGGTAAACATCAGGACCAAACGCAGCATGGGGAGGAAAGGGTTACTTCATTTCACAGCTTCCAGTTCATCAAGAAAGGAAGTTAGGACTGGAACTCAAAGCAGGAACTGAAGCAGAGGCCTTGGGGGAACACTACTTACTGGCTTGCTTTCCAGGACTCAGCCTGATTTCTAACACAACCTGGGACCACCTGCCCAGGGTAGCCCTGTGCTCGATGGTTGGAACTTCCCATGTCAAACATTAATGAAGAAAATATCCACAGACTTGTCCACAGATATGTCCACAGGCCAGTCTGATGGAGTCAAAACCTCAACTGAGGTTCCCTCTTCCCAAGTAACTCTAGTTTGTGTGTAACTGACACTGATCAGCACAACTGAACCCTAATTAATTTGACATACAAACGTATCAGTCTTAAACTATAACCTTTTCCTACTTGTTTATCCCCTATACTTCCAGTTGATATCACAATATAAAATACAATCCCACTGTAAAAGTCCTATAATCTTTAAAAAGTGGAAATACTTTAAAAGTTTGGTCTCTTTAAAACATCCAAAATCTCTTAATTGTGAACACCCTCAAAGTCCAAATAAGTTACATACTTTCTTATTCCAAGAAGGAAGAATAGTCAGATCAAAGCGAAACCAAGCTCAATGATAGTCAATAAGACTATTTTCAGCTTCAGATAACTAGTGTTGATTGGCCCAGTGTAGCAAAGGTTTCGCTTAACTGTTGCTGGTTTCTTATTAATCATAGCTGATTCTCCAGTCCCAGCTTTCCAGCAACCACAGATTCTTAATTAAAAATCATATGAACAACCCTGATAGGATCTTTGCTTCATGCTAAAACTTCTCAAACCAGGCCTCTACTGTCTACATTTCTCCCAATATTCTCTTCCTAGCTCACACAAACCATTCCATTAAACTCTGAGTGCTAATGGTTTTTCTAGCCCAAGTTATTAACACATCCATAATCCTCCTTCCAAACAGCATGGTCAGGGTCTCCCACAATAGCCTGCTCTCCAGGACTAGTTTATGTTCTGCTTTGCTTTTCTATTGCTGACATAAACATAATGTTCAAAAGCTACTTAAGAAGGAATGGACTTACTTCAGCTTACAGTTTATAGTCAATCCTGAAGGGAAAGTCAGGGGAGGAACAGAAGCATAAGCCATGGAGGGACATTGCTGACTGCTTTGCCATCCATGGCTTGCTTAGCCAGGTTTCTTGAATAACCCAGGACTACCCTGCACAGGGTGACACCTTCACTTATCCTAACGATGGTCTGAAACCTGCAAGCTGAAATAACACCCTCTGTCCTCAAGTTGATTTTGGTAATGGTGTTTATCATAGCCACAAAGTAGATTTATGTTTGAACCACAGGTTCATGTTTGAACATTCAGTCACCACCTCATGCTCCTCCCTTTACCCTTTCTTTCAGGGGTAGGGACTGAATCCAGGGCTTCCCTACATGTGAAGAAACATGAGTTATCATCTCAGGGGTCTTCTTACCTTTTGAGACGGTCACATTAAGTTTTCCAGGCTGGCCTTAAACTCATTCTGTAGCCCACATAGGCCTCGAGTTCACAGTTTGCCTGCCTCATTATCTGAGTAGTTGGGATTTCAGGCCTGTACCACCAAATTTGTAGCACTGTTTTGAGAGCTGTGGAACTTTTAGGATTTAGGCCCTGCCTGGGCTAAACGGACACTTTTGGCAAGCCTTTGAAGGTTATATGCTTCTGATTCTAGCCTATGTGTCCTATTTCTTGTCTGAGGCTGTTTTGCAGGAGGAATTTGAAAGATTTTAGAACTGCAGGCTAGAGAGTAGCTAGGATAGTGTAAGCTCTGCCAAATAGTAGGTTCTGGTGGGAGGGCAGAAGATCAGAATGGCAATAGGACTCTGGGCAGTAAGGACTGTGCTGATAACATTCCAGATAGATACAAAGACCTTATTTGCAAACAGGACTCAAGGTCGTTCAGGGTACACCCTGACCAAGAACCTGCATTGATTTCACACATGTCCTTAAGGACTAGTTCATCTGGTAAAGGAAATTTCAAGACAGCAAGACACCCAGACTGTGGCATGGTTATCACTGGGTGTTTTTAACCAAATTTACACTAAGGAGCCACTGAAAGCAAAGAATTGAGTAGAAGGATTTGTAAATCATTCAGCAAAGGAATCTGAATACTGTTAGTGTAGTGAGCCACGTGAATACTGCAGGCAAAGCCATGGTAGTTGTTAAAGTCAAATTGAGTGCTTTGCCATAGTTCAAGGGATAAGTGGCCGGGGGCGGGGCACACAGGCCTCAAGGCAAAGATCCCACCTATCGGAGACTACAGGGTATAAACTCAGTTGAAAGACTTTTATTTAAAATGAGAGTTCCTATAAAGGAGTGCCTAAAGGGGTGCTCAGGAATTATTTCAGGCTGGGCCTTTTGGGGCTTTAGAATCCTGGCTATATCCTGAGTTGGGGGCAAAAATTAGTGTCATCTGCGTGGTGCTGAGTTTTCAAACACAAAGAATGCAATTGTAATAGATGGAATGCTTTGCTACGAGATTCCAGAGAAAAGTCTAAGACCTGGAAATGTGCCGCAGGACTGGGGCTCCTCAAGGACCTCCTGACTAGGCTGTGAAGGTGAGGCCCAAGTTTCGGTGGAGACTCCAGGATACTGAAAACACCAAGAGCAGGTGACATATGCTGATAAAAGCTATAGGCAGTAATTGGAGGTGACCCTCAATTTTCTCACCAGCAGCACACAGCCCTGTGTTCACTTGTGAGCAAAACTCACCTGAACTGCATTAGCTCTCTTAGCTGCTTATCAGCTAAGAACATTCTCTTCTCTAAAAAAGAAAGTTCTGGTCTCCCATATGCCGTGAGTACTCAGGAAGCCGGAATGGAAGGGGAGGGGCCACCCCAGCCCCTTGAAGCTCAGATGATGTCATCATAAGCCCCATTTGCCAGACACAGAGCTACATAATTTACTGTTTCCATGCTTGGCTTTGGTCTTGCTTTGATCTAATCTCTCCTTCCTGGTGTCTCGCCCGTCCCTCTGTACCATTGTGTACGGAAAGTATCTAACCTGTTTATTTTTGTACAGTCTCACAGTTAAGAGTTTGCCTCAAGTCTCAGAAGAAATGTCAAACTTTCAAACAGGGTGGGAACTGTTGCAACTATGGAAACTTTTGAAATTGGACTGAATGTCTTTTGTATTCTGAGATGGCGTGTGCTTCGGGGAGCAAGGGCAGAGTGTTTTTACTTGAATGTGAAATGTCCCTGAAAGGTTCATGGTTTGAACGTCTGGGCTGCAGCTTGTGGCAGTATTTTAAGGAAGGCTATGGGACCTTTCCGAGGTGGATAAGCTAAGGAACTCGAGGCAGTACGGATATTCTACCCACTTTGGGTACTGGCTGGTTTGCTGGGCTTCTTGCCTACGGCCATGCTGTATGGAGCTCAGACCTCTGTTCCCACTGTCATGGACTCTCTATGCCTTCCCTTCTGTGGGGGTCTAAAAACTTTTGAAAAATGTGAGCCAAAGTAAGCCTTTCTTCCTTGAGTTGCCCCCATCAGGCCACCTTGTGTCACTTTGTCACAGTGAAAAGCGCTGCTCCTCCTCCGACTGAGTCTAGGAGAGTTGAAGCCAATGTGAAAGCCTTCTGGTGAATCAGCATGATTTCTGGTCAAAATACTACAAGGAGCATTCATCGGACTCTTCTGCTAGAAACAGAAAACTAGTCCACAGTCAGACTAACACAGGCATCAGGGCGTGCAAGTGTACCGTCTCCCTTACACTTCGATCTTAAGGCTGTATGGGAGACACAGTGCTATCCTGTGGTAGCGGCTTGAATGAAATGCTCTCCATAGACTAGGGCATTTGAATACTTAGTCCCTGGTGGGTTTTGGGGGGGCGGGTATGGCCTTTCTGGAGAAACTATGTCACTGGGGGTGGGCTTTGAGAACTTAAACTATGCTTGTGGTTCAAAATGCAAACCCTCGGCTACCTGCTTCTGACAACACAACTTCACTCCACTCTGCTCTGGAACCGTGAACCCAAATAAGCTCCTTGTACTCTAAGTTGCCCTGCTCAAGGTGTTTGTCACAGCAATAGAAAACTAGCTAATGCATCTGTCTGCACACAGAGATGCTATGGCTGTGGTCTCAATTCTCACCACCAGCAGCAGGCAGCCCTGTGTTCACTTGGAAGCAAACCTCACCTGAACTGCATTGGTCCTTTAGCTGCTTATCAGCTAACGACATTCCCTGTCTCTAAGGAGGGCGGCTCTCAGCTTCCCTACACCTGGCCTGTGCCCTTTCTTGGTATTACTGAAACTCTGCCCTTTCCCCAGGAGCCCTCAGAAGCAGTCTTGCTTCCAGCAGGAGCTTCAAGCCATGTCTTTTCCCATAGCATGAGAAGCCCAGGTTGCCTTCACCACTGTACATCTCTAGAGGAAGGCAGAAACCATCCTGGCCCACAACTTTAATTGATTGCTTTGCTTCTGCTGGGCCCTGGGATCAGCTCGAATAGCTCATAGCTTGGTGCTGCTGAGAGATCTGGGGCTCCCCAGCATGCTCTGTTGGGAAAGGCCAGTGTCTCAGATCAGTGATTGGCTGGAACAATACAACAGTCAGTAAATGCCACTTGAGGATACATGTTCATAAGATTGTGAAGAGTCAAGCGGGAGGCAGGGAAGTTGTTGATCTCCACGCAGCAGGTCAGACCAGCACACAGCACAGCCACTGCAAAAGAAGAGGCAAACTTAGCACAGAGCTTCTAGGGAGTGTGTGGGCTTCAGTCACCGATGCTCTCCTGTCTGACAGATCATCATGTGTCACAGCTCCATCCTGCTTCAAGTGCCTTACTCACAGGACGCCCTTAACAAAGTCACTGGCTCCTGACTTAGAGCACTATAGAAAATGCCACATAGAAAAAACTTTGTACCCAAAGGGGCCTCCAAAACTAGGTGTGTCGCTAAGTAGAGTGGGTCTTGTCTATACACAAATTACACATCGTGATTTAACCAAGAACAGATTAAAAATCTCCAGAAAAAGCATTATACTTCTGTTGACTATGAACAAATTTCTTTCCTTGTCATTTCCTCCCTAGATAATGCAGTGAGACAGTTCTTCACCCAGCCGTGGCATTCTTGTAGTATGTTAGGCATTCTGTTTATTACAGTAGGCATCATCAATAGTCTACAGAGGATTTAGAGTGTGCAAGAGGATGTATATAGGGCCTATGCAAATAGTATTCCATTTTATACAAAATCTGGTGGATCCAGGTGTCTTAGGAAGGTTCTGGAACTAAAGCCCCATAAAGGACAATTATGTTCATATACATATATATTCTTAGAGACATTCATATATCCTTATATTTATGTTTCTGTATACTTATGTCTCTATATTTTTATATATGTGAATATATTCCTAAATTCATATCTATATTATATACATATGTATATGCATTCCATATGTATGTATGTATTCCTGCGTTTTATTTATATTTCACATTTATGCATATGTGTTCTTGTATATGTATGTATGTATGTATGTATGTATGTATGTATACTCCCGAATGTATACTTCATTTTATGTTCTACACTAATTCCCAGGTATCTGCAGGAATCCACAGATATGTTTCAAAGAAAGCTTTCTTTTGATCATAGGAAATAATCAATAGCATTTCCATTAATAAGAAGAATAAAAAGCATTTGGACTCAGAACATGTCAAGAGGATAAATAACCCAATCCTCTAACATGGCCGGAAGGTGATAACCCAGTCCTCTAACATAACAGGGAGGGTAATAACCCAGTCCTCTAACATGGCAGAGAGGGTAATAACCCAGTCCTCCAACTTGGCTGGTAGTGTAATAACCTAGTCCTCTAACATAGCAGGGAGGTAATAACCTAGTCTTCTTACTTGGCAAAAAAGTAATAACCCAGTCCTCTAACATGGCAGGGAGGTAATAACCCAGTCC